GCCCCAGAGCTCGAGGGGAGATTACTCACGTGCGTCTTGGTATGTCTTCATTTTCTAATACATTGCTCCCACAGTTGATTTCTCACACCAAGGCTTGCGTTTACCACTGCAAATTCAGGTCTGTCCCAGCCTTGGCTGCAGATCTACCCTTTTGTTTCTGGCTGCCTTTGACAGCCTCTTTGGTCTTGGCTCATTTATAGTGGAGTTTGGAGTGTGACCTGTTGAGGTTGCTGGACCAGGTTCTTTAAACTGGATAACGAGTAAACGGTGGACATTATTACAGCCTTAACGAGCTGCGAGGCATGAGCGAGGCTCTTAAAGAAGAGTTACAGTCTGTGATAGCGCAGAATCTTGTTTGTTTGTAGCAGTGGACCAATATACTTTATTTTACAGGGAATTAACAATTGGGAGGTTTCAGTGTGTGAAACCAGATCCGTACAATGTGTTTCCTGGATTCGTGGTCGCCGCCCCAATCCCTGTCTTTTAGTTGAAGTGGACTAGGATGAATACCAGGCCTCTTGCCGAAGGGCTAAGAAACGATGAATATTCTAAGGGAGGTATCTAAAGCATGCACAGTAGAACATTACACAATAAAAAGTAGAATTCTCGTATAAAAGAACACGAATACTAGTACTAACAATATTACATATACGCATTATAAATCTGCAAATGTGGTTGCCGTTTAGAACTTAAACTAGTATCAAACAGTAGCCTTAACATTCAATCGTTCAAATGAATATAAATGTAAATATATGTATTTGAGCCTCAGCCTCCAGACATCTGAAATGTTCTTTTGGATACTTTTGAACTGTAAGGTGATTCTGCTCCTCTGTTTCAGGTCTGTTCTCTTGGCATCCTGTGTGTATGTCTGTCGCAGTAAGTTTGCACCTGACTTCATCTTCTCTCTCTCAAGCGCACACATTCATCACAACCCACAAATACAAGAAGAAAATATTGTTACCATCAGAGAAGAAGCAACCATTACTGACATGAGTTGGTGGCTTTTATTTCCTCTTTATTTGAAGCATCAGTACGTATTGATGGCATTTTGTTATTTCGATGAATCATGTTGGAATTTTAATTTTTCAGTGTTTTCCATACGACTGCAGGCAGGTCTTTCATTGTTGTGTGTATACATCTGATAACGTGGATGTCTCCGGTCTCTTTCCACGGTGAATAATAGATGGAGGGAAAGCTTTACAAAGCTCGGTGTTGCCTCACTCCCTCAGATATTGTGTTACAAGCTCACCTGGAATATGTCAGCTAACAGGGGGATGTTAGGCTTTTCTGTCATGGTTAATGGAGGAAGAGCGGGATGGTGCTTCACCAGTGTCAGCCATGATAACTTCCTGTATAAACATCCTGCCTCTACAGTCAGAAACACTGTGAGCTGCACACCTGTCAGCGATGGGAGCTCTTCTTCCACAGACATGAGCAGAGCACAGGCAGAAGAAGGATATTTATATGTGTACAATGCCTTCACACACTCATTGTGACATAGTGGTCCGCACTGTCACATTCTTTAACAGCAACGTCTCTGTGTTCCCAGATCATTAATAACTTTGGTTAATAAAGTGTTATCTCAACCAATAGCAATGATGGCAAAAAAACAAGACCCAAGTTGTCATAAACAGATCTGTTAATTAGATAAACCTCAATATTAGCCAAAGTATCCACAAACAACCGTAAACAAATAGCTAAAACACAGCCTTTTCTTTCTTTAATATATCAGCGTAATGCACAGGATGAGTTCTGGTTTTATAAAATAACTCATCTGGGCCTCCAGCTCGTCCTTTTATTTTCCAACACCAGAACACCTTGTTTTGTCTTTCTACATACCCTGAATAACACATGCCCCTCCCGTGTCCCCCCCCCCCCCCCTGCAGTACTGCCTGTGTATGACTGAAGGCGTCCTCCTCTTCTCGGCTGAAGGATCCCCCTTCTGTTTCGTGTCCCGGAAAGGTAAAGTCCGTCTGCACTGGTTCTGCCAGGCTCTGGTCCTGATAGCCGCGGCCACCGGCCTGGGCTTCATGGTGGCCAGTAAGAACGTGTCGGAGCTCCCCCACCTGCTGACCTGGCACAGCGTGCTGGGGGTCTGCACTCTGGCTGCAACTGTGCTGCAGGCGGCCTGCGGCGTCGGCCTCCTCTTTCCTAAGCTGCTGCGCCTGTCTTCCCCCCCGCTGAGGCTGAAGCTGTACCACGCCACCTGTGGCCTGGTGGTCTACCTGCTGGCCACCGTCACCGTGGTGTCGGCCATGTTTTCTGACTGGTTCCAGGCCACTGTGAAAGGCCTTGCCTGGTGGGCCTTCCTCCTGCTGCCCCTCTTCCCTGCCCTGGTGGTGATGAACCAGATCACTAACGCCTACCTGCCACGCAAGAAGATCACCAGCTAGGAAGCACAGGAGATCCCCCTCAATCCCTCTGGGGCCATGTTGGATTGACCTTGTACTCGATCAGACCGGAGCAGGAGCTAAAGCAGCCTTTGGAAGTTAAACAAGTATCACAACATAAAAACATGTCTGTCTTACAGCGCCGCTGTCTGTAGAGAACTTTAGAATTACTGTGCTCAATTGTTGTTAGTTACTGAAGAACACTTTCAACCTTAAATTAAACAATTCATTTGTGCTTTCTAATTTCTCTGCTCAAATGAATGCTGAAATTATTGTAACAGTTTTAGTTTCTTATACCAAGTGCAAAGACCAGAGGGTTGCAGCAGGCTGTTTTTTTTAGTGTGATTCCATTTGATAAATGAATGGATGAATGAATTGAAAGAAGTACAGAATATACATTTTGGGCAGAAATTGGACAGTATGCATTACCAGGTTGTTTGCTCATATATGAACCCTGATACCTCCTGACTCACTAACTCCAGCAAGAGAACGAAAGGCCTTCAAGCTCAGACTCCTGCTGAGGACAGAAGGAGTGTATGCACAGTGTGGGTAACCATGCCCTACGTAGAACACATGTATGAAGACCCAGCAGGTCGTGGTCGTCCTGACACATCTGCAGAGGAATATTTGCACTCCGTATGCAGTGAAAATGATTAAGGTGCTGTGGATGATTTGAGACCAGCATGCAAATTCTATATATGTATTCTTTTGTGATACATTTGTCTGTCTTGGCTGCTTAAATTAGCCACATTTAAAGCAAGTTCCATCAGTCAGTAATATGTTTGGATATTTAAATAAGGAGACCAAACATAGCTGAAGGGGAGCAGATATTGGACTGAGGTTCAGCATGAGGACACTAACACCACTAAATAAATGCTAACGTTGCTCAGTGTCTGCAGAATGTACAAATAAGCAGGGAGGAGGGCTTCTGTTCCTCCGTGGCCACACAAACCAATCAATGCAGCTTTAATAGAGCATGGCCACCATCATGTAGAGTCATGAATGATACTATAGAATATCACGTATTGCTGGAGGGCGCTTTGAGCTAATGACTTTCTTATAGAGGCATTTTGAAAATAGTAAACATGTGGGTGAACTGTCTACAGAACTAGCTGAGAAGGCCACACAACAGAGACTGCCTGACAGGCTGTATTCAGGGCATATCAAAGTCCAAGCAGGAGGTTTTTCACAGCAAAAGGATGTAACCAGCACTCAGCCAGAGCCCTCATTTGTAAAGCTGATGCACTAAGACCTTTTGGATGTTATGCAGCACACACAGGCAGCTTATGTAAATACTTTTTGGACATAATACCATTTGATGGTCATGGAATGTGTGTGTAATTAAAAATAATAATGGAAGATAATTCAACATTCAACGTTCTCTAACGCTCATAGACTGTATAGGTAGCGCCAGGAAGTAGTCTGGAACCAGGAAATGCTCCACCTTTTCATCTCCAGACTGGGTTTAACCGGCCGCTCTTCTTTGCTGGGTTTGTTGCCATGTTTGAATCAGTTTGATGATCATGTTCTGCAATAATGATGTTTCCTTGATGAAAAAGAGGCATTCAAATCCAAATAGTGAGAATTTTGTTACTTCTTTACTTTTGATATGCTACTGAGAACAACTCACTCTATGGGTATGGGCTGTGCTGTATGAGGAGATCACAGTGGAAGTTGTTTCTCCAGTCCTTTTCAGCACTATCTGTAATAAACACAGAATTTGAATTGGTATTGTATTTTATTTTAAATGAGAAAAAGTGCACGTCCGAGGAGCTGTCATCAACTAACACACTATGTTCTGTTGGCTCGATACTAAAAAGCAACCAGATATTTGAGAGGAACCTTTTAAAAAAATAAAAAAAAACTACATTTCTGAAACGTTTTGAAAGACTTCAGGACAACTTGTCAGAGAACCACAGATGAAAGAGTGATGTTGGAGAGCAATGAAAGTAACACACACACACAGTGGGTTTTAGTCTTTTTTATGGAATTTGGTGACACAGAAAAAAACTCCTTCAATAAACAAACACGTAAAGTCTTCATCAGGGATTGGAGTTTGCAGAGCTGGACTTAAATTAATGAGAACTATTTCCAAAGTCAGGAACCATCACTGGTCTGAAAACGGCCACACAGCTGGAGTACACGTGAAGCTTCATCACACTGAGTCCATGGCCTGGGTTGTGTGTGTTGTAGCTGAGACATACCTCTGATCCTCCAGGGGTCAGAGGTCGGGTCAGGAGTCCGCAGCTGCCGCCTTGTCCTCACAGATGATGGTGACGGAGCTGTTGAGCAGCTCGTACATGTTGACCTCTCCGCCTCCTGCCAGAGCCACAAACACCTGCTGGGCCTCTGACTCCGCCCCTTCATTTCCTGCTGGATGTGCTGAAGTCTCCTGATTGGAGAGAGAAGTCATATGTTCAAGATTTGTATTTATTTGTAAAGGGTGAAGCTGCTCTGTTCTGTTGGTGGAAACGTTCACTGTTTCTGCACTGTGTGTCCCCCCCCCCCTCAGTGTTGCACCTACAAATACATCTTGGTTTCACTTCTGCGCTGTTCAGTATTTAAAAGAAGTGAGAAATGTCCAGCTACCACATCAGGCTAATGTTTAAAAGCATCTGTAAATGAATAAGTTGAGTCAAATGTTTGATTTGTCTCTTGCTCATTCAGCATGTGCTAAAGGGATAGTAGGTAAATTAGGTAAAACAAGCAAAAAACCCCAGTCATTTTTGACATTGTTACCTAGGGATGGGTATCGTTTGAAATGTATCAATTCCGATTCCGGTTCTGCTCATCGATTCCCCGTTTCGTTTCCAAAATTGTAAAAGAGGTCAAACGTTTAGATAACAAACATATCTTTATTCTTTTAAGCTTTAACTGAAATTTTTACAAATAAAAAATATACATGCAATACAAATGTATT